ATATCTGCTGCCAAAGGACGATGATATTGGTAACCCCACAAAGTACCGACCTATTACCTGCCTCTGTACACTTTATAAAACCCTGACATCATGTTTGACAGCGAAAATTTATGAGCACTTAGACCTACAGTCGATACTAGCTATTGAGCAAAAGGGGTGTATAAAGAAGTCGCAAGGCTGTAAAGAACAACTTATAATAGATTCTGTGGTCACAGAGCAAGCATACCACAAATCTAGTAATATCCACGTGGCGTATATTGACTATCGCAAGGCTTTTGACTCCGTGCCGCACTCTTGGTACACCTTATACATATTAAGGACCTGGTCCAGGTCCTTAATATGTATAAGATCCATCCTAAGGTAGCAGCATTGCTTAAACATATTATGTCGTATTGGCGTACTGAATTTTCTCTTAGTTTAAAGGGTTATAACATCAAAACGAACTACATTCACATACGTCGAGGAATTTTTCAGGGTGACAGTTTAAGTCCCCTCTGGTTTTGTCTTGCTCTGAATCCGTTATCTGCAATATTAAACAATACTGGTTACGGGTTTCTCATTAAGGGCGGTACTGGGATAGAGTTCAAACTTAACCATCTTTTGTACATGGACGACATAAAGTTGTACGCTGCTAATGCTCGTGAACTTAGAGGCTTACTGCAAAGTACTGAGCAGTTCTCGAATGACATTAAAATGTCTTTTGGCCTGGAAAAGTGTCGAACTTTAAGTGTTGATAGGGGAAAGGTCAAAAAGGCAGAAGGCTACGACCTTCAGAATGGTGGTATAATTGATGCGATGGCTAAAGATGACAATTACGAATATCTTAGTCTACTCCAAACTCTTCGAATCGACCACAAGGAATTAAAATCTCGGATATGTAAAGAATACTACCGTAGGCTCAAAGAAATTCTCGGAACAGGTCTTAAGAGCAAAAACATCTTTAAGGCAATCAACACTTTCGCAATGCCAACAATAACTTACACCTTCGGAATTGTAAAATGGTCAGACACTGATATCGGGAATATTGAGAGAACTACCCGTGTATTATTGACAAAATATCGGTTCCATCATCCTAAATCCGCTACTGAACGAGTAACTTTGCCAAGAGCTGAAGGGTGAAGAGGTCTCGTTGACCTAAGGCGGCTTTATTCCAAGCTAATAAAAAAAACTTGCAAAATTACTTTCTCAACAAAGAGTCGTCTCCCTTACACCAAACACTTACTTTAGCGGATAATGGCTATACTCCACTGGATCTTCTTCATTCTAAAGAAGTTGAGCCCTTGGTTGCTGATGCCGAATACCTTAAGCCTTACCAAACTTAACCAGTGGGCCTCAAAACCACTACATGGAAGGTTTGCCCACGAGCTTAGAGGCCCTCACGTTGATATTGCAGCGTCGACCAGTTGGTTGCGACGCGGGGAATTGTTTGCAGAAACTGAGGGTTTTATGATAGCAATACGGGATCAAGTAATTCCGACAAAGAATTACCTCAAATACATAGCCAAAACAAATGTCGAAGATGACCTATGCATACGATGCTATCAGAAACCTGAAACGATTCAACATATCACGGGTTCGTGCCTGGCTCTTGCTGCATCAGAATATACTCAGCGTCATAACGATGTCGCCAAAATAATCCATCTAGCACTGGGCCGAAAATATGATCTATTGAAGGATGACAACCCGTACTGGAAATACTCCTCTAGTCCCGTGCTGGAAAATGACAACATTCAACTATATTGGGATAGATCAGTCCTAACAGACCGGTCCGTCCCCCATAATCGGCCAGATATTATAATTCTTTATAAAAAGGAGAAACGGGCTTGTCTGTTGGACGATGGGGTTCCCAACTCGCATAATATTCAGCAATATATAATGAAAAAAAAAGACAAAATACCAACCGCTTGCTGAAGAAGTGAGACAAATGTGGCTTCAGGATGAATTAGAAGTCCTTCCCTTCATAATTTCAACTACAGGAATAATACCGCAGCCGCTTAACGAAAATCTTGCTAAGCTAAACTTACCAATGTCCGTTAGGAACAATATTCAAAAAGTTGTTATCCTAAGGACACCTGCCATTGTGAGGAAGCATCTTGCCCTATAAAACACAACCTCTTTGCATCTTGCTAAAAGCCGATCTAAGAGTTGTAAACCCAAAAGGAGAAAAAAAAAAGATAAAACACATAATAATAATAATAATAATTGTTTATTGCTTCGAAAAACACACAGTTACATATACGTTAAAACAAAAGAACATTATAATTATTGGAGACAAAAGGAGACGGCTCAGCTTTGTCTGTAACGAGATACAGATCTCATACAGAGCTGTTTTTCAGCCGCTCCCCATTTACCTGACTTATACTTTTAAACTACGTACAAAGTAATTAAATGTGATAAAATCGCAAAAACAAAAAAAAAATTAAAAACATTAAAGACAAAATAAAATAATACATGTTTACGTGCACAAAGTGATGGAATAAATGAAATGGATGGCTTCTAGTCTTCTTCTATGTGTTTAAGATTACTTATAAATTAAATTACATATTGAAACATTAAAATAAAATATTTTCTTCTGCATCTTCAAAATTATACAATTCTTGAAAATCAGGCGTTGACGGCCGCCATGGCTGAAAATAAAAGCACATAAATAATATTATCAAAATATACATATGAATAAGCAAATATTATGTAGGTATTATATTATATACATGCAAGGTTCCTGACTGTGATCTCTCGATTATAATTTGCTGATTTGGTACCACGCGTAAGCTGCCACTTGGTGAACGTTCAACAAGCATTCCAGCAATTAGCGCCGGTGCCCCTCGAGGGCGCGTCTCTAAACCATCCATCAAAATCCGCTAAGACATACACAAACATTACCAAATAAGAGATTTTCTAACGGGTCCGATTGCAAATCTTAACCATCTAGGACCAGGAACCTACTTAAACAAACATTTCCAAATCAGTCTAGTCGTTAAGATATTCAGTGACTTACTCGTATAGAAGATAAAGATAAAAGGTAAAGAAAAAACCAGAACTAAATAAAAATCAAAAATTATTGTAATACTTAATAATAATTTGCCCCGACACGCGACTTACCTACTTGCTGATGATATTTCTACCTAAATTGTCATGAAAATATTTAAAATTATAAAATTAATAGATATTGTGTAACAAAATTCACAAAGCGTAGATCTACGCTCCGGCATGATTATTTATTGAACATCCCTGTAAGGGTATATTTTTATAGTTTATGTCGAGTTAATGTGATAATTTGGTCGTAAAAAAATAATGTTGCAAATCAGAACGAAACTTATCACTATCTAAAATCTGCATGAAATTTCCTACAAAATAGTATAAGTAAAGCAAAAGTCGTAATACATTTCAATTTCAACTATTAGTGAGAAAATATAGTAAAAGGGTTCTGCGCACATGTTTTTCGAATAAAACCATCGAAATGTTAACACTACACTGATTCCATTTTAAGATTTCAGTCCTAAATACAACAAATAATAGGAAAATACTTACTTTTTATACTTTTTTTTTTTTCAAAAAACCACTTTAAAACTCAAACACTTTGCCAGTTTACATACTAACGGTAGAATGATTTTTACTCTGTTTTCGCAACCAATGAGAAAGTTTGACGACTGCAACTCGTTCATTCATTCAAAAAGTCAAGATTCAGTCAATAATAAGCTTTGAAAACCCTTAAACATATGTAAAATGGCTTAAATTTGCTTGAAAGTCAGGAAGCGCAGATCTCAGCTCAGTCACACAGAGGGTACAGAATTTTCTTCAGAGATCTACGCTCTGGCATATGAGGCTTTAAGGAATTGAGAAAAACTCACTTAAGCTACTAGTAATTTAATATTAAACAACCACCTACGTCGCATATTCGTAGGGCCACTAGAACACTTTCGCACATCGATATCCAATATGTAACAAAAACCCTGTGGTTCCCGTTAAGTACGTTATCAGGATCATTATTCAAACGTATAGAAATAACTTTTTTTTTTATTACTCGAACAATAATTTATTTTATGTTACTTAAAAAAAAAATTGTATACAAATTGTATGTGATTTTATTACCTCTGCATTGTCTTGGGAGTAAGAGGATTGTCAAAGACCCCGCTTTACTTAGCTTTAGCATCGGCTAGTGTCAGTAAGAGGTAATAAAACCACATAAAATTAAAAAAAAAACATGGTCTGATAACGTACTTAACGGGAACCACAGGGTTTTTGTTACATGTTGTATATGTATTACGCACTAGATTTTGCATTCCGAACATTGACTATGTTCAACTCAACTGTACTGCAATCCGACTAAATATTGCGTAAAGTGAAGATTTGTGAAATCCATAATATAATTATTATTACATTTTATTTAGAAATATGTTTGTTTAGGTTAAAATAAGAGTATTTTATATTAAATTCTTATATTTATTTTATATTAATATCTTATTTTATATTAAAGTCTTCCCGCATGCGCGACTCTACTATCTCCCGTGCATTTTTTTTATTGAATAAGGGTGACAAACGAGCACACAATCCACCTGATAGTAAGTGGTTCCCTTGGAACTTAGATTCTCCTTAAATTCTTTATGTATTCAGACATTAATTTGGTTAATCGTTTGTGTACTGAGTGTTGAGTTGTTATTATGTGAGCTTATATATTATTATTTTATGCTACAGATCATTATCTTGTAAGTGTTGCAAAGGAGATTAAATTATATCATTTATATTTCATATCTGATGGTCTTGGGGTCTTGTTTTTGAACCGGTGCTTATTTTTCCTTTGACATTCATAACCATAATTGTGAAATAGGGTGTGACTGGAAAAGTTTAAATAATATGATTCAATCGAAAATCTTAAGTTTACATGGAAATTGAAATGTTCGTTATTTTCTGGACCAGAGACTGTTTTGATGGATTCTCTTACGCTCCCAACGTATTATTTTATACGTATTTACGTATTGTATTTCCTTTATTTATTTTCTCAGTGAGGAAGTAACCTGGACATCTCTAGAGCAACGGAATCAACTACGGGCCCGGCGCGATTTCCACCACTGGACACTACGCGGAGTGCTCAGTGTACTGTCAGAGCGCGTAGATAAGCGATCCGTGGCGACTACAGTAGTTGAGATTGCTGCCCTGATATATAAAAGATGTATCCGTCGGTATGTATTCATTGTTTTCGTTAGAAGAGATTTAGACTTCTGGGTTTCGGTTAAAACTTGCATACTAAGGTCTTTGCTCATATCCATTATTTAAATTTTACAAATTTCGATACAAATTTAGTATATATGTATTCATCTCATAATCAAATCATATTGTAATTTATAATGTATTTATGATGATTATTTTTCTTGGCTGATTACAATGGCGGTAATAAAAAGTACAACAAAAGTTCTCTTCAGGGCTTAGGCTGATTTTACTTATGTTAGGACGTTCCCTTAATACTGGCTCTATTTGATACTGCTTCCAGTCATTGATTTCAAATTGGGTATAACTACGATATGATTGAGAAGCTACATGGTCTTCTGGGCCCTTCCCCAATTCGCCTCATACGACACCACTACTTACATGGATAAGAAGGTGTGTGATGATTTCGATTTATTCATCAAATATGTAGGTTACTGTAGATCCTTGGAAAGAAGGCTAGAGGTCTATTGATGGATTTTCTGAAGTTTGTTTTCTGTTTAATTTTTTTTGGGATTTTTATTGAAACGACATGCCAATCCCATCATACCTTATAATAATTACTGCTAACACTAGAACAAAATAACGAAGTATATTTTCTGCAGTTAAATGTGTTTTTGTTTTAGGTTTCAAGATATGTGCGATTTCGATGATCAAACTGCTCTGGGTTGTCTGGATGTTTTCAAAAGCTGCCTAAACTTGATTTTATCGAATAACTACTCTTTGAAGACCGATGTCCTTCTTTCAAATATTAGTAAGGTTTTCATAGAATAATATATTTAGTATTTTTTCAATTAATTATTTATATTTAATTGAAGTATAATTTCAATATATTATTTACATTTACAATACCATTACAGCCTATTCACTCACATCACACAGTCCACTGCTGTATATATTACCTCATAGTGGGGATATTTGCCATAGTAATATCGCTTGGCAGGCAGACAATTGCAATTGTTGACTTGTAAATATAATATGGTAAGTTATGCAGGAAGTTGATAGATGGAAATAGCTTAGGTCAGGTGTTTTGTAGCATTACTTAGGAGAGGCTTGTGTTCTGTAATAATGATGATAGTAATGAAATATAAGAATTATTATATTCAATGATTTCTCACTGTCTTTTAATTATTTGATAACGAAATATTATTAAGTAAATAGTCATTCTATAATTTTTAAAGCAAGAGAGAATAAGCTTTTGTTACGCTAAGACGTTGCGATTTACCATTTAGAGCTTTATTCACCACTTACTACCAGGTGAGATTGTTGTCAAGCACTGAGTTATAATCTAATCATAAATCATTTATTTGCCTGAAATATATAATATGTCAAGTTACAGCCTTTGAACATCTCACTGCTGGGCACAGGCCTCCTTTCACTTCCGAGAAAGTTTTAGGGCTAGGAAATGTGTGCCGCGCTGCGCTAATGCGCGTTGGCTGACTTCACGTCTTCGCAATATTTTTTAATTTTTTTATTGGAACATATTGCAAAACTTAATAAAAGTATCACTGGTTCCTCTTAATATTAGTGTGCTGCTGTAAAGTTATGATTTCACTCCTGCCAAGGAGCCTCTCTACGTACCTATATTTACCTATTTCTACCGCAAAATAGCAGTGCGATGTGAAGAATATAAAAAGTCAGAGGAATTGTTCGGATTAATTCCAGCCGCCAAATTTCACGAATGCACATCGCGTCAAAATTCACGATACCATCCTCACCATCTGGATGCTTGGCGGTCCACGACTGTGCGTTTTACTAGGAGTTTTCTTCCTCGTACAACTTCTCTGTGGAATTGTTTACCAACGGCGATTTTTCCGGACCGATACGACTTAGGGACTTTCAAGAAAAGAACTTACACCTTTCTAAAAGGCCGGCAACGCATCTGCAATTCCCCTGGTGTTGCGGTTGTTCATGGCCGGCGGTAGTCACTTACCATCAGGTGAGCCGAATGCTCGTTTGCCTCCTCTTCTATATAAAAAAAAAGTAATTATAGACATCACACCTGTTATTTGCTGTTTTTTATAAAGTTGCAGGCCTCTATGAATTCGCTACTTATCATAAGGTGGACTGAAGTTCATTTATAACTTCAGTTTAATATAAAAAAAAACCGTTTTACTGTCATTGGGTACCGTGACCTTGCCAAAGTCTATAATAAAGCTCATCCTTTCCGTATCGTGTTTAATATAAAAATATAAAAAAAACCAATACCGAAACCGACCGAAAAACCGAACCGATCGATCTTGACCTTGACAAGGTGACAATAAAACCCAACCTCTACTTCGCGTCCGAGCTGTTTTATAATAATTTGTTGTATCTAGCGGGGCTGAGCGACAGCAGCAGTGCAGCAAGCGTGGCCGCCATGTTGGATTGCACTCACACTGCACTGGTGCAGCTGGAGGCCGACTGTGTGGAGGATGCTGACGTCACTGCGAAGAAGATTCTCGGCGCATGCTTCCAGCTGGTCACTACCCTGTTGGAGATACCGATGCATTCGAGTGCGGACGTCAATCGTGTTAGTGATTGTTCTAAAGTATTTACTAGACAACACTACGTTACACATAGCACACCATACCATACCAAATTCGCTACGGAAAGGGCTATTATTGCTCGTAGTTTAAGTTGAAGTGGCAATGGGCCAAATAGTTTGAAGAACCTACAACTGATTGGGAAGAAAGATTCTCCAGTAATATCCTCATACGGGTAAGTGAAGTATTGGGCGGCCCTCTTCTAGATAGGGTGAGGACCTGATAAGAGATGCAGGAAGTTGATGGTTGCAGGTGGCTCAGGTGCTTTGTGGCATTCCTTGGGGGCTTGTGATGAGCTGTAAAAAGATGATGATTATGAATATTACTAGAATTCACTAGACAGAGAAGGATTGTCAAAAGTTCATAATAATATATTACGTTGGATTATGTTAGTAATGAATGCTGTTAGTTAAATAATAAATATTTACGCAAAATAAATGATTCCATTATCTTAATCTTTAAAAGAATTATTGAGTTGTTGTTATCAATATTATCTAATTTGCTATTTAGTCAATAATCTATTCGCCTGAGTATCTATTTCACATTGATACAATCACCTATTCTAACAATAAAAGGCGATGTCATTAGTAATATAAATGATAAGAAAACAGTAGGAGGATTATATCTCGATCTTAGTTCCGCCTTAGTAGATCATGAAATACTACTACAAAAGCTTGAGCATTATGGCATCAGAGATAAGATGTTGCAACTCTTGATATCGTACTTAGGTAATAGACGTCAGTATATAGAATTAGGGTACACTAATAAGGGTCGAGAGATGATATGTAACTCAAGTGGAGTCTTTTGCACTAGAGGGGTCCCACAAGGATCTCTTCTGGGTCCACTGCTCTTTATTGTCCTTTTTTTTATAGGAGAGGGGGCAAACGAGCATGCAGCTCACCTGATGGTTAGTGACTACCGCCCCCCATTAACAACTGCAACACCAGGGGAATCGCAGATGCGTTGCCGGCCTTTTAAAAAGGAGTAGGCTCTTTTCTTGAAGGTCCCTAAGTCGTATCGGTCCGGGAAAATCGCTGGTGGTAATCGATTCCACAAGGAAGTTGTGCGAGGAAGAAAACTTCTTCTAAATCGCACAGTGGTGGACCGCCAATCATCCAGATGGTATGGATGGTATCGCGAGTTTTGTCGCGATTTGCGATGGTGAAATTGGGCGGCTGGAATTAGTCCGAACAATTCCTCAGAGCACTCCCCGTGATAGAAGCGATAAAATACGCAAAGAGATGCAACATTTCTACGCATTGCCAATGAGTCAAGCCGTATCGGAAAGAACTCGGTCGGAGACGATTCGAACCGCTCTGCGCTGGATGCGGTTAAGTAGAAGGAGCTGGCACTGGGGAGCCCCTGCTCAAAGATGGGAACAGTAATCCATGTGAGGCAAGGCTGCGCCTTGTAAAGTTGCAAGCGGTGTGCCGGCATGAAATACTGTCCCGCTCTGCTGAGCACGCCAAGCTTTTTGGAGGCCAATTTGGCCTTCTCTTCCAAGTGACCACGAAACTGCACGTCACTCGATATGTCGACACCAAGGATCCCGATACTGGATGAGGCAACAAGGGGAGTGCCTTGAAACTGAGGAGATACAACAAAGGGGTTCTTTTTAGCGGTAAACGCGCAAACTTGTGTCTTTTGGGGATTGAATTGGACTAGATTTAGTCGACCCCAGTCTGAGACTTTGTTCAACAAAGTCTCGACTTCAGACAAGTTTGTTGCGGTACTCGGCGACGTTTTCCCGAGAAATATTGGCACGGCCGGTGTATAAAGCATCACCAGTGCTGTCGTCCGCATAGCAATGAATGTTACTGGTTTGCAACATATCATTGATATGCAGAAGAAACAGCGTTGGTGATAGCACGCAGCCTTGTGGAACACCAGCATTAATGGACTTGTAATCGGAGCATGCACCGTCTACTACCTTGATGCTCCGATCTGCAAGAAAACTGGTGATCCAATTGCACAATTTCTCGGGAAGCCCATTGGAAGGGAGCTTCGAAAGAAGCGCTTTGTGCCAAACCCGATCGAAGGCCTTCGCTATATCCAAACTAACGGCCAACGCCTCCCCCTTGGACTCCACTGCCTCCACCCATCTATGAGTTAGGTAACCTAAAAGATCACCAGCTGAGCGACCTCGACGGAAACCGTACTGGCGGTCACTAATCAGCTGGTGATCCTCAAAGTACCGCATGGGCTGGCTGTTAATAATGGTTTCCATTACTTTGGAGAACAAGGAGGTAATCGAGTTGGAAGCAAAAAGAGAGCCTAGCAGATCGGCTTTCTCTTTTGCATCATGGGCCAGTGAGTCGTCCGCCCTGTGCAGAGATGGCTGAGATGGCTGACAGAAGTTCCTTTGGACAGCCTTGGCGAGAGACCAGAATGCACGTATTCCCGAAGGGAGGCGAACTAGTCTCTCGCCAATTCTGCCGATGTGCTCTGACTTTGCCTTGGCAATGATACTTTTGAAGGACCTGGAGGCGGAATTATACTTATTTTTAAGAGCTCTGGTATTTACATCCCGGGACGTTGATGCGTCGGCCCAGGTTCGGTAGCACTCCTGCTTATAGCGTGATGCAATTTTGCAGGAGTGACCAAACCATGGCTGATTTCTGCCTCCGATAGGCACCACAGATGATGGAAGAAATAATTCCATTCCCTGAAGTACCACATCAGCGACAGAATCAGCAACAACGTTGGGATCATCCGGCGCAAAATAAACCCGCGCCCAAGGGTAGGATGCAAAAAAAGACCGCATCCCATCCCAATCGGCCGACTTATAGTGCCAAACACGGCGGCAAGCTGCAGATCGCAATTGCGATTGGAACGTGAGTGGCACCGTACTCCGGATCAGACAATGGTGCGAAGAGCCCAGAGGGGTATCGACGGAGACCTGATATCCGTCCGGATGAGAGGTCTGCAGAAGGTCCAACAGGGAAGGTACATGATCCTCCACATCTGGGATCCGCGTAGGCGAAGTAACCAGTTGTGTCAGACTATATGCCAAGTCAAAGTCATATACAGATCTCCCCGCATGATCGGTTAACCGTGAACCGAGCCATTCGGCGTGGTGGGCGTTAAAATCGCCAAGAATCACGATCTCTGCGGATGGGCCCTATTGTAGCACGGATTCTGCAGCCATTTGGACGTGGTCGATGAGTCGGTCTGTGTCGGCATTACCGCTATGGGATATAGGGGCACCCGTAGACGCGGGGATGGTCGTTGCTGTCTACGCGTAGCCATAGGATGGACAGGTCCTTACCTTCAAGACTGCCGAGGCGTCGAAAACAGATGTCCTCTCAGACGTACACGCAAACCCCAGCCCGGGGCACAAACGAGTGTTCTAATTTCCACCCCGGGTAGGAGAGATACGAAGTATCAGCCGGAGGGGACACCTGTGTCTCGGTTAGAAAGAGCAAGGCCGGCTTAGCTATCTGCAGATGGTAGTGGACGGCGTTAAGGTTTGAATGAAATCCCCTGATATTGCAGATATCCACGGAAAGCGTGGCAGGGGTTGCCTTTGTCTTCTTGCTCCGCTTGCCCCGAGCAGATTTCGTCTTGAGCGGAATTTCGCCCCCCCAGAATACGCAGGGCAGCCTGAGCACCCACGACCAGGAGTGGAATAGTTTGGTAGTGGATGCTCAGTGAGGGATTCTACAGGGGTGCTGGTACCCTCCTGGGGTAGTATTCTGTTCAATTCCGCTACCATGTTGATGGGGGGGGGGGGGGATTGGGCCTCCGGCCACCTGCACTCACCAAGCGGAACGCAGAGGTAAACCTCTACTTCACGCTGGTATTCTGTGAGGTCGTGTTACCACCCCGGTTCGAGCCGGCCCATCCGTGCGACAACAGAAGCTGCCGCGTGGCTCTACCACTCTTCAAAACGTCCTTATATAATATGATAAATTAAATTGGAACTAGTTTAGATGATGTGAAAATTATAGTTTTCTCTGATGATGCAAATGCAGTTCTATGTGCTAAAAATATTGAGGAACTCTGAATGAAAGCTAATCTAACGTTGCCATTATTTACCAAGTGGGTCACCACTAACCATCTTGTAATAAACGAGAACAAAACTGGAGTGATGCTACTTAAGTCGACAAATCGTAATCAAGGTAGAATTAAGGTCAAGATAAATGGCTGTAACGTAGAACAAGTTGATACAATAAAATTTCTAGGTGTACATATAGATCCACTTTTAAACTGGGGGGGTAGAGCTAACTCCCACAGAAGCTACTATTAATTCAGTATGCTATGCAGTTCGAAGCTTACGCGACGAGCTAACTACAGAACAACTAAAATCTAAACTAACTACAGAACAACTAAGTTGCGCTACAGTATCAGGCTCTGGGGTGATGAGCTATGAGTACAATATCCATAAAGCTTTTGTTGCACAGAAGCGGGCAACAAGAATATCATGCAGGCAGCACTATGAAATTATAAATATTAACTGTGCCATGCCTTTATATCATGGTCCTGCCGATTTGAGGAAAAAGCTTGAGGCATACGAATCTGAAACTGAAAGAAAAGCTCGTTTAAATACGAGACGCAAAGACTTAAATAGCATATTTAGATCAAGGCTAACACTTAATGTTGCAAGGTACAGTGCGCTACACCAGTCGGTTATGTTGTTCAATGAGCTGCCCAAAGCGTTTAAAATAGAAAAAAAAGTATACAAATTTTAAGAATAACGAAAAAAAAAACCGCTGATACAGAATTGTTATCACTGTATTGCATGCCTAGCGCAAAGCGCGTAGGTATGTTCTACTAGCGCCTAAAAATCAAGATTCCAACGTTTTGTCGCATAAAATCGTATCTAACAATCATATTGAACACATAAATCACATCACTTATTTTAACTTTACTTAAGTTTATCTTTTTCATGTTCACGACATAATTTATAGTGTTTAAGTGATCTAAATCTATCTATCTATCTAAATAAGTAAAATAAATATGAAATAAATATTATTAATTTCACATTATTACAATAGGCTATCGCCAAGTAGTAATATCTTTTTTTTTTAGGATAAGGGAGACAAACCAGCACACAGTGCACCTGATGGTAAGTCTTTGCTGTGACCCATAGACATCTACATCTATCCTCGATTACAAATCAAAATGCAGATGCGTTGTCACCTGTGAGGACTAAGATGGAATGCCTCTTTTCCAGTACAAAGGGTCTCCGGTTCCCTACACTTACCATACGCTGGCATTCTGTGAGAGCGTGGTCCTTTCCCGGTCGAGCCGACACATTCGTGCTACAACTATACTACTAATATAGCTACAGCATGGCTCTACCAGAAAGAACCTCTTCTAGAAATCTCAATCTGTTGACAAACAAACATCATATTTGCAACTAAAGTGACGATTTGTAGACAGAGTAACAAGACAATTTTATTATGATTAGTTTTATTCTACAGGTGATAATCAAGTTGGAGGAGTACATCCGTACAAGCAAACAAGATTGCTTGCAGCTGATATCGCCAGTACTTGGTGCCGCGTATCGGGAGCAACAGGAAGCACAGTTGCTACAGGACTTATTGCTCAAGCTCGCTACAGCTCTCGGCAGAATCGATGTTTGTACATACACAATATAATAAATAATCTAAAAAAATTAATAATAAACTGCGGCTGCAAACCTGCCTGTCAAGCGTGGCAATTATGGCGAATATTACCCCTATAAGGCTATCTATTGGGTAGGTTTATATTCAGCAGACGTTATTTAGGATAAGTGTTCCCATAATGCATTATAATATAATTTTATATTTATCGAAAAGTCATTTGTATCCCATTGGATCATTATTTGGATAGTCAAAATTGGTCAGAACGGGTCCACACCCGTTCTGACCAATTTTGACTATCATGGCTCTACCACTAGAGCCATGCTGCAGCTATATTAGTAGTATAGTTATAGCACGAATGGGTTGGCTCGACCGAGGAAGGACCACGCTCTCACAGAATACCAGCGTAAAAATAGCACCTTAACACTGCTGTGTTTCGTATGGTGAGTGTAGAGAACCGGAGACCCTTTTTACTGGAAAAGAGGCATTCCATCTTAGTCCTCACGGGTGACAACGCATCTGTGTTTTGATTCGCAAACGAGGATAGATGTAGATGTCTATAGGCCACAGCAACCACTTACCATCAGGTGGACTGTGTGCTCGTTTGTCACTCGATCCTATAAAAAAAATCTTTCTAATTAATTTGTCGGTACGATACGCGCACCACCTACTGTAATTTTCATATATTAGATAAATTATAAAATTATGTTTTCTTTATTTATATAAATTTATATTTTATTAGGAAGAGGACTCGTCAGTAGAAGAGTCAGCAAGTTTTCCCAGCATCGACTCACGCACAGGTCACGTGGCCTTGAATCACGTTTGCGTTCACCTCGGTCACCGGTTCAAATGCGTTGAACACCTTTTAGTTAGAGCGAAGGATTTGACAGCGGCGCTCGACATCGCTGCTCCATTACACCAGCAACGGATTGATAGAGGTGAAAATTTATTTATAACTAGAAGATACAATATCTTCTCTCTCTCTTTTTATCTTTCTCTCTCTCTTAATCTTTCTCTCTCTTTCTTAATCTCTTTCTCTCTCTCTTCTCCTGGATATGGGCCTTTACCCGTTATAAAGAGGATTTGCCTTAATCGTTACGCTTTGCCACTTTTGACGTAGTGCTTGCTTACTTGCGTGTTCTCGGAAAGGCCTATGTCCTATGACTATGTGTGGACTTAACTAGTATGCTCGTGCAATATGATCACAGTGAGTTCTTTTCAGAACATTCTTAAAGTTCCTATTTCTAATCAACTTTTAAAAAAAAAGGGAGAGGTTGTTAATTCAATTGTATTCTTTTTTGGATGTAACGCAATATTTTCTTGATCAGCCCGTAAAAGTCTATTACTAGACATGACCTTTCCCGTTGTAGGAAGGATCTGCCTTAAACGTCGAGATTGGCTGGCAATCGCAGTATCAGACGTGAGCAACTTTGATGTCGCTGCTTGTCTCTGGTCTAGGTAGCTATCAGAAGCTATAAGATCTTTTTGCCATATCCTAGAATCCTCTTAATCCGGGAATCCATCAGCCTATTTCGTTCAGTGGGTGTCCCACTGGACGAAATAGGCTGATGGATTCACTTCCACTATCAAGCCGTAATATATCTGAAGTTATTTAACCAATATTCGTGATATTTTGTTGGCAAATACATTGTAAGTAAATCTGAATTTGAAGTCGATCTATATTTTTAAATAATCAATTATTACCCATGTATAATTTAAAACAATGCTTATTAAATTAATAATAATTTAATAAATATATTATAAATTATACGTGGTAGAATCATGCTGTAGCTCTATACAGGGTATTTTTGGAACGCTCCCGAAAACTAAGACAGACGACAGTACCAAGTATACCTTTGATGATGGATGGAATATAAAATCGATCCTGATGAAAAAAAAATCATCTTTTCACAACGTTTTATTAGCTTTATTCATTCTCTATCATGTTAGTACAGCTAAATGAAAGGATAATTTCATTTAAAAAAATCATGAAATACTGAAACATAAAACCAGCGGTGGAATTACTGAATTGATATCAGCAGCTGATTAAAGGTCAATGTACGCGCGAACGCTGAAAAAAGAACGCTGGCCTTGAACCTGGGCACTGAGCGATTTATGAGTGAGTGGTACGAAGGGGGCGCGACGGGGGAACATTTCGCCAGTATTACTGTGGCCGCACGCTATTGGTTACCGCGCCTTGTTCGCTCCCAAAATACAGTCGCATACACAGCTTACTTTGCGACTCGCGACGATGGTTTTAAAAAGGAAGGAAAGAAAAATTATTTATATCTATTGTTTTATGACTGAACTAGTGAACGAAAAGGTAAATATGATAGGAGAAGATGAATGGGAAAATTGTGCAGTAAAGTTAAAAGTGTTAAGGAAGAATACCGAAAAAATTACCATGTGGTCGACCTGATGACGGAAGCTCAAGCGAAGATGAAAGTGATGATGAAGTAGCATCCAGTAACACCAACACACCATCAACATCTGGCTTCCATGTGACCCAATACGACGTAATGGACGGCGTGTCACCATTACCTTAAGTTTTCTTGTTACAAACTACTTTATATTTTACGATAGAAATAACAAATAATGTTCAAGCGAACATTATCCATTTTTAATTCCAACCTTTTCCAAAGTTCTAAGTAGCTAGTAAAACACCTATTATGATTCTACAATAAAACAATGAATTACTATACTATAAAACAGTAGCTTTACTTAGCCGTAGTATTTTAGAACTCGACTGTACCCATGCGCAGACACTCCCTTCACTGAAATTTAGTTTGCCGGCGACAATAGAATTAGAGGCGGCAATCAGTATAAAACTTTCAAGTCATTTTTAATAATTTACGTACCTCTTTTTAAATTCAAAGTATTGGCCGGATTAAATACGGAAAGTCAATTAAAATAAAGTAAAAGTATTATTTTTACATTAATTCTGATAGATTAATCAACTGTCGATCATAATTGCAAGTGATTTTAACTATTAAAATATTCAGTACCATTTCATTTCTATTTTTTTATACAAAATCAAAGATAACGATGAAATAGTGTTTATAATTGTGCGAGTACTGAGTACCCAATTAGGTACGTTTATTAATTTCAATAATTTTTGTAGTAAAGAACTGCTTGTTGCGTCAGGGTACTTGTAATTGTATTAAAAATGACAACCATAACTTTTAAATTCCATATGAAGACTAGTCGTAGGGATAAATAAATAAACGTTGGCCATGTCTTAACATACATAACGCTTTAACAGCTTGTGGAAAGTTCCAGTGCTGCAAGGACATTGCCTTATGTGCGCATTTGTTTTAGCGGAATAAATTAATAATTTTAGTTTTTGTTACAGTTCCGTACTTAATGATATTATTTTTGTTGTTACGATAAGCCGGTTGTAAGCCGGCCCCGGCGAGGCGAACCATCGCCAGGGAGCGCCGCTGGTGCTACTCGTGCCTGGAATGGCATCTCCAACGAGACTGCCCGCACCAGCGGCCCTGCACGCACTGCCAGGGCAACCACCACGCGATTTTGTGCCTGGGTACGAGCGGCGCGTCCTCTCAGCGTGTTGAGAGGAACTTCGCGGCCACTCAGCGGTCAGCTAGAACCGTCTCACCCCCGTTAGCTGAGTGGCCGCGACTGGAGTAGTACTACCCTCCTCCCCTTGGTCAGTACAGGTACTACCAGGTTCCTGCGACCTCAAGACTGTCCCGTGCCCCAAGGCCGTCGTTTTTTAAGTGGTAGAGCCATGCTGCAGCTATATTAGTAGTATAGTTGAAGCACGAATAGGTCGGCTCGACCGGGGAAGGACCACGCTCTCACAGAATACCAGCGTGAAATAGCAGCTTCATGCTGCTGTGTTTCGTATGGTGAGTTAGTCCTCACGGGTGACAACGCATCTGCATTTTGATTCGCAAACGAGGATAAATGTAGATGTCAATGGGCCACAGCAACCACTTACCATCAGGTGGACTGTGTGCTCGTTTGTCACCCTATCCTATAAAAAAAGGCCGAGGTTCCCCGAATTTCCCCAGATCGGCCCATTTGGTGAGTGGCAACCATGGGTCGTTGATATGCCGCCGGAATGCCGCTTCCCGGACCCCTGGTTCGAGTGCCGGTCCGATGGAGGCGGCTCCGGCTAGGAAGCTGCCGCCCTAGCTCCCACCACGGCCGCTTCCACTGAGCCTTTGATCCGTCAACAGTCCACTTGTCAAACTGTTCTATTGCCGACGGCCTCTGGTTTTTGTAGCCGACATTCGGATGATGTTTCGACAATCAGTGGTCCATCGTGATGACCGTCGATATCAGCTGATATTGTGGCGCGAGAAGCCCAGCGATCCGATACAGGTGTTTGAGTTAAATACCACCACCTATGGACTCCGGTCCAGCCCGTATATCGCCATGCGAACCCTCCTTGAACTAGCTGAGAGAGAGCGTCTAAAATACGCTCGGGGGGCTTCTATTTTGGAGAATTCGGTCTACATGGACGACATTTGCACGGGCGCCTCCACCGTCGAGGAAGCTCTTGTATTGCGAGGCGAATTGATTGCCATCCTGAAGTCCGGAGTTTATGGGTTGCGCAAATGGTTGTCGAACTCCCCTCGTATTTTGAAGGACCTCCCAGGAGAGGATCAACAAGACCCTCATCTGTTCGAGCACCCTGAAAATCCTAATTAGTTGACTGTGCTGGGCATTCAATATCAGCCTGTTCAGGACACTTTCACGTATCGAGTCTAACTCGACCCCCCTCCTAAAGCATGGACCAAGCGTTCCGTGCTGTCTACCGTAGCCCGCACCTTCGATCCTAATAGATGCATTATTCCGGTCATTTTTTTGGCTAAGTGCTTTTTTCAAAAGCTTTGGATATCCGGGTTGGGTTGGGACGAGCCTATTAGCGGCGCTCTCTTGCGAGAGTGGCACTCCATTGTGTCCTCCCTTCCGGACATCAACCGGGTCTCCATGCCCAGGCGCTTCCTCCCTCCAGGGAAATGCAGGGCTACCCTACATGGGTTTTGCGACGCCTCTGAGAAAGGCTATGTTGCTGACGTATATTTGCGGACTGTGAGCCCTTCTGGCCATACTTCCGTCCATCTCGTACTTGCTAAAAGCAAGGTTGCTCCCATTAGGTCCCGCTTAACTATCCCTAAATTGGAACTGTCCGGAGCCGCTCTTCTCACGCGACTCCTCAACCAAGTTCACTCGTCTTTGAAGTCTGTAATCGACATTACGGACGCCCAAGCTTGGTCGGACAGTGAGATAGTACTTTGTTGGCTCAGAGCTGCACCTCACAATCTTGAGGTCTTTGTGGCGAACCGCGTGTCTCAAATCCAGAATTCTGGGACGTCTCTAAACTGGAGACATGTCCCAGGGGAGGTGAATCCCGCAGACTGCGCTTCTCGCGGCTGTGAAGCCCCCTCGTTGGTTGACCACCCGCTGTGGTGGGGTCCCAGTTGGTTGACTGAGTCTCAGTCATTCTGGCCCCAGAATAAATACTCCGAACCGATTGAATTGCCTGGCATACGAGCCCGAGTAGGAGTGGGCAAGGATAAGGATCTCCCTACTACAACGGTACAGCTCTCTTGATAAGCTCTTAGGAGTGACTGCTTGGTTGCGTCGATTTGTCCGCAATTCGAGAGACCCGTCCAACCGAATCACTGATTCCGTTTTGTCCCCTAGCGAGCGTCGCGAAGCTTTGATGCATTGGACCCGTATGGTCCAAGCGCAGCATTTTGAGCCCGTGATTGAAAACTTGAAGCGGGGCTCCGTTGTCAAGGGCGCTCTGGCCCGTCTGAACCTCTTCCTGGACGACGCTGGGATGCTGCGCGTTGGCGGACGTTTGTAAAATTCTCAACTGCCGTACGGGGCTCGACACCCGTTACTGCTCCCTAAGGACGGCGCCTTTGTTCGGTTGCTGGTAACTCACCATCATGTTAAGAATGCCCACGCTGGGTGTAACGCTCTTTCGGCTATTCTGCAGCGGGAGTTTTGGATTTTGGCTGGCCGACGCACCATTCGAAGCGTCATCTTTAAGTGCATACCTTGTTAAAAACTGAAGGCCACCATATCGCAGCCTATGATGGGTGACTTGCCACCCGACCGCTTTAGGGCCATCCGACCATTCGCTGGAGTCGGTCAGACAGACTTTGCTGGCCCCTTCCTCGTCAAGTCCTCTAACCTTCGTAACGCGCGTTCATATAAGGCCTATCTGTGCGTTTTCGTGTGCCTCTCCACTAAGGCCGTTCACGAACTTGTAAGTGCCCTCAGCACGGAAGCCTTCTTGGCCACGCTGGGCCGCTTCGTATCGCGTCGCGGTTTGCCGGACCTGATCCGGTCTGATTGCGGAACGAATTATAAGGGCACGGATAGATATTTAAAAGAGGTCGTCGAATTTCTGTCCAGCAACAGGACTTATTTAGGTACTGCAATGTCTAAGAAGGGCATCCAGTGGAAATTCGACCCCCCGGCTTGCCCACATTGGGGCGGTATTTTTGAGGCGGTGGTTAAGGTTGCAAAAATGCATCTCCGTCGCGTAATTGGCCAAACTATTTTGACATTTGAGGAGCTTGCCACTGTATTCTGTAAAATTGAGGCGGTACTCAACTCTCGGCCCCTCTGTCCCCTCTCGTCCGATCCGAATGATTTGGAGGTTCTAACCCCGGGACACTTCCTGATTGGCCAGCCGCTTAACGCCCTGCCCGAGTACCCCTTCAGAGAAACAAATTCTTCGCGGTTGAGCAGATTTGACCTGCTGCAACAGATGACTCAGAATTTTTGGCACCGATGGTCTCTGGAGTACCTACATCTTTTGCAGCAGCGCATTAAGTGGTCTGACAATACGGATCCTCCTCGGGTTGGAGACCTCGTGTTGGTTAAAGAACCCAACGCTCTGCGTTTGTATTGGCGCCGTGGGCGCATTGTTAAATTGTCGTATGGATCGGATGGGGTGCCTAGGGTGGCCGAGGTTTTGGTCGGAGAATCGGTCTTGCAACGTGCCATCGCGACCCTGTCCCGTTTGCCAATCTACTCGCGGACATAAGTCCTTATGTCCGGAGCGGGGGTTTGTTTAGGCCAAAAATTAACCTTTAGAAAATTGAATTCATAACTCGCTACTCGGCGCGTGCATAGCACGGTACGAAGGTCACGGCCGACCCCTCTCCGGCCGCAATCCAGTCGGTCGATCGAGTGGCGTCGAGAGATAGTGTGAACAACTGCCGGTCGACCGGACGCGTAGAATTTATTATTGGAGTTTTTCGCTTCTAATGTTGGGTTATCTTTAGTGCGTTCACGCGATAACGAAGTCGTAATATTTTGATTGATTAACTTAAATTCGTTGGCAAGTAATTTACGTAAATTGTGTAGTGATTGCCGGTTGAAGTGCTTTGACAATATTAATTTGTGTCGACGAGTTTCTTTGTGGGATTTGATGTAACTCGGAGATATTTTCCTGTGTCGGTTAAAACGCTAAACCTTGTGACCCGCGAGAAACAGCGTTCGTATTAGATTATAGATTTGTGTTAAGGGACGATAGACTTTGAGTGACATCGAGGTGACGCAGCTGGAGGATACCACACCGTGTTGCGGTGCTGGAGTCGGCTGCTGCCGATTAAAAGGGCTAAGTCAGGTTACCATTTACACACCACTAAACACCACTTACATACACTACACCTACCGCCTGACCGAGCCTGGTGGCCAGTCTTCGCTTCTGAACCAAGTAAGTCGAATTTATTACCTACTCCTTATATGTTGATTATCTATAGGCATTTTGAGCCCCACCCTTAGTTGTCAGTCGAATCCACCGCTGATGGGCCCCGGGATATTTGACCTTTGTCGGGACAACTAGGGGCGTGTACATTTATAATGCCTAACGCGTACGTTTATAGTGCTCGTGAATACGGCAACATGTTAATGTGCCTTGGTGAAGCTCGCGGGAATGCTTCGCATGCATTGCGAATTTATCAAGAGAAATTCCCAACCGCTCGACATCCAGCTGACTGTCGTCTGATAACAGCAGCATTTCAGCGAGTGTTGGAAAATCGGCCCATTGCTACGCTAGCGGCAGGAGGTGGAAATCAAGTGGCTGTTCACTCAGAGGAGCACATTTTAAATGTCGTTCGCCGGAATCCGAACCTAGGTACACGAAGTATCGCTAAATTGTTAAGGCGTCGGGATGGAACAAGTGTGTCATACTGTACAGTTCACAAAGTGTTAAAGCGCAACCGAATGCGCCCATACAAAGTGTACAAATTGCAAGCGTTAGTTACCGGCGATCACGACCGCCGGCGAGTTTTCTGCCGTTGGTTATTAGACCAACAACGTGTGCCTGGTTTCATTGGCACGTCATCTGGACGGACGAGTCGACATTTACCAGAAACGGCCTGCGGAACCGAAGAAATACATACGTGTATTCCGAGGTTAAGCCGCTCGCTGTTCGACAAACCGGGCACCAAACCCGATGGTCGGTTAACGTATGGGCAGGTTTATTTAAGAATCGCATACTAGCACCAGTGTTTCTGCCACAGCGACTTAACGGACAGCGATACCTGAACTTCATAAATGAACAGTTGGTGGACATTTTAGACGACCTATCGTTGGCTAAATATCGCCGCACATGGTTCCAGCATGATGGTGCATGGGTGCCCCTCCACATGTCGTGAGGTTCACCCGTGAGCGCCTCAATGAGTATTTGATGATTGCTGGATCGGCAGACTAGGACCACACGCTTGGCCACCTCGCTCACCAGATCTGACCCCGTTGGACTTCTTTCTGTGGGGGTATGTGAAAGAAAGGGTTTTTAATCGTGAGTGTGATAGTGCTGACGAAATGCGCCAAAGGATCTTGGATGTTTTCGACAAACTACGTACTGATTGTGTCGAAGACCACACCTCATCTCATAAGACCACGGAGGATTTAGAGCGGTAAGCTGTTTCATAACTAATTTTTTTAAATAACTTAGTACTGAACTAATCTGAATAGGTACATAACTGAATACATGAGAGTAATAAACATACCTACACGATGAATAAAAACGCATGACTAACCTTGGTTACATTTCATTTAAGTATTTTTTCATTAGCGGGGAGTCGAACCAGTTATTTGGGTTATTTTAACCTGTAAATTCGGATTAAAGTGGCTACGTGGAGACAAGCACAGTGGCAAAATAGTAGGTTAAGTAGATAAGTTAGGTATTTAGATAAGTGTTGTAAATTATAAGGTATTGTGGTATGGCCCGCTAGTTGCGGGCCGCGCGAATTCGCGTTCGCGCGTACATTGACCTCTAGCCAGCTGATATTAATTCAGTAATTCCACTGCTGGTTTTATGTTTCAGTATTTTCATGATTTTTTTTATGAAGCTGTTTCATTTAGCTGTACTAACATGATAGAGAATGAATAAATCTAATAAAACGTTGTGAAATGATGATTTTTCTTTCATCAGGATCGATTTTATATTCCACCCATCATCAAAGGTATACTTGGTACTGTCGTCTGTCTTAGTTTTCGGGAGCGTTCCAAAAATACCCTGTATTAGTAGTATAGTTTTAGCACAAATGGGTAGGCTCGACCGGGGAAGGACCACGCTCTCACAGAATTCCAGCGTAAAGTAGCAGCTCATTGCTGCTGTGTTTTGTATGGAGAGTGTAGAGAACCGGAGACTCGTTTAACTGGAAAAGAGGCATTCCATTTTAGTCTTCAAGGGTGACAACGTATTTGCATTCTTTATGGAGGATAGATGTAGATGCCTATGGGCCACAGTATCCACTTATGATCAGGTGGACTGTATGCTCCTTTGTCGCCATTATTCTATATTAAAAAAATGCATTTAATTTCAGAAGTGAACGAGTTATACAAGAGCATCGTGATCCAGCTGTGCCAGCTGTGCACGTGGACGCGCGACGTATCGCGACTAAGGTGTGCAGCGGGTGGCAGCGAGCGCGTGCTGGCGCTGTGCGTGCGCCTGTACTGCGCGCTCGGCACGCTCGCCAAGCAGCTGCAACCCGCCATGGCCCCCGCCTTGAGGTACACATTGTGCTGTGCTGTGCTGTGCTGGCGCTGTGCGTGCGCCTGTACAGCGCGCTCGGCACGCTCGCCAAGCAGCTGCAACCCGCCATGGCCCCGCCTTGAGGTACACATTGTGCTGTGCTGTGCTGTGCTGTTCTGGCGCTGTGCGTGCGCCTGTACTGCGCGCTCGGCACGCTCGCCAAGCAGCTGCAACCCGCCATGGCCCCCGCCTTGAGGTACACATTGTGCTGTGCTGTGCTGTGCTGGCGCTGTGCGTGCGCCTGTACAGCGCGCTCGGCACGCTCGCCAAGCAGCTGCAACCCGCCATGGCCCCGCCTTGAGGTACACATTGTGCTGTGCTGTGCTGTGCTGTTCTGGCGCTGTGCGTGCGCCTGTACTGCGCGCTCGGCACGCTCGCCAAGCAGCTGCAACCCGCCATGGCCCCCGCCTTGAGGTACACATTGTGCTGTGCTGTGCTGTGCTGGCGCTGTGCGTGCGCCTGTACAGCGCGCTCGGCACGCTCGCCAAGCAGCTGCAACCCGCCATGGCCCCGCCTTGAGGTACACATTGTGCTGTGCTGTGCTGTGCTGTTCTGGCGCTGTGCGTGCGCCTGTACTGCGCGCTCGGCACGCTCGCCAAGCAGCTGCAACCCGCCATGGCCCCCCGCCTTGAGGTACACATTGTGCTGTGCTGTGCTGTGCTGGCGCTGTGCGTGCGCCTGTACAGCGCGCTCGGCACGCTCGCCAAGCAGCTGCAACCCGCCATGGCCCCGCCTTGAGGTACACATTGTGCTGTTCTGTTCTGGCGCTGTGCGTGCGCCTGTACTGCGCGCTCGGCACGCTCGCCAAGCAGCTGCAACCCGCCATGGCCCCCGCCTTGAGGTACACATTGTGCTGTGCTGTGCTGTGCTGTGCTGGCGCTGTGCGTGCGCCTGTACAGCGCGCTCGGCACGCTCGCCAAGCAGCTGCAACCCGCCATGGCCCCGCCTTGAGGTACACATTGTGCTGTGCTGTGCTGTGCTGTTCTGGCGCTGTGCGTGCGCCTGTACTGCGCGCTCGGCACGCTCGCCAAGCGGCTGCAACCCGCCATGGCCCCCGCCTTGAGGTACACATTGTGCTGTGCTGTGCTGTGCTGTGCTGTGCTGGCGCTGTGCTTGCGCCTGTACAGCGCGCTCGGCACGCTCGCCAAGCAGCTGCAACCCGCCATGGCCCCGCCTTGAGGTACACATTGTGCTGTGCTGTGCTGTGCTGTTCTGGCGCTGTGCGTGCGCCTGTACTGCGCGCTCGGCACGCTCGCCAAGCAGCTGCAACCCGCCATGGCCCCCGCCTTGAGGTACACATTGTGCTGTGCTGTGCTGTGCTGTGCTGTGCTGGCGCTGTGCGTGCGCCTGTACAGCGCGCTCGGCACGCTCGCCAAGCAGCTGCAACCCGCCATGGCCCCGCCTTGAGGTACACATTGTGCTGTGCTGTGCTGTGCTGTTCTGGCGCTGTGCGTGCGCCTGCACTGCGCGCTCGGCACGCTCGCCATCGATGCATCGAATGAACCACTGAGGAAAGCACTTTGCCCACTCGTCCTTTGGGGTTTCTTCGATGGCATTTTGAAACACAGCCACTGCTTCCTCGGCGTTCATAAAACGTTTTCCTCGGAGTTTTTCTTTTATTTTCAGAAATAAATAAAAGTCGCAAGGTGCGAGGTCGGGGCTATAGGGCGGGTGACCCAGTAATTCCACGTCTGACGTCGCCAAGTAGTCGATTGTTTGCTTGGCACTGTGCGACGAGGCGTTGTCGTGGTGAAGGAGGATCCTACTGTGAGGTCGTTACTCCCGAACTTTTTCCAAGACAAGTGGCAAACAATTGTTAGTGTACCACTCTGCAGTAACTGTTTTTCGATCCTCTAAAACAATTTTTGCCTAATGACCAGTCCTTCCGAAGAACGATCTTTTTCCCACGTTTCGACCTCTCTTCACTTTAGTTGGCAACGCCTCGGAAGGAAACACCCAGACAGCAGACTGTCTCTTAGTTTCAGGATCATAACAATAAATCCAGCTTTCGTCACCCGTAAGTATGTCGAACACAGCATTTGAGTCACCTCCGTTAAATCTTTGAACCATTTCACGACACCAATCAACTCGACGGAGTTTTTGGGCCTCTGTCAAATTATGAGGTATCAACCGGGCACAAAGCTTCCTGACCGCTAAATGTTCATGGAGGATTTAGTGCACTTCACTCATACCAATGCCTAAGCTCGTCCGAGTCTGCTGATATGTCACACTTTTGTCAGTCGTCGCCGTAGAAGCTCATCCCTCACGCAGATCATCGGTGAGATTAGTGCGACTACGATTAAACTCATTAAACCAGTTTTAAACAGTGGCACGAGATGGGGCTTCATCGTAAAAGGCCAATCGAAGTCTATCATAACTTTCTTGTTGACTTAAATGACATCGAAGGTCATAAAATATCATTGTACGAAGTTTTCTCGCGTTAAATTCATGCTGACGTGACACATACAATTTTCAATTTGCTGCCAAATCGTGCACAAATGACAAATTAATAAAATACACATACACAATAATATTGGCAAAATGTTTCAAAATTTAAAGTTATGTTTTTTATATCGTTTACAAGTGGCCAGTTCTAAAAACTTTCAGTTTCGCCATCATATGCCAATATCCAACTTTATTTATTACGATAATATGTTCAATGAAACATCCCAAACTGTTAACAAAAACAATGAAAATAACCAATGATATTAAAAATTATCTACACAATAATTACGGAATTGTGGACAAAAAACGTGCTAACTACTTTTGGTTAAATATAATTGTTGTATATTTTATATTTTTTTGTGTGTTACCTCAGAACTTTTTTCTAGGTGAACCGATTTTGATGATTCTTCTTTTATTTAAAAGCTGGTGCTTCTCATGTGGTCCCATATAAATTTGATCAAGATCTGACCAGTAGTTTTTTAAATTATCGTTAATAATACGTATTTAATTGACTTCAACTACATTCATAATTTTTTTTTGTATTGAAGTCGATTGTACTCATTTTTTATTTTACCACTTGTAACTACACACTTAATGTTTAGGCCAAATAATTAACACTGTAAAAATTTGCATTCACGACACGCGCTCGACTCGTGCATCCGATGTTACCAAGGTCACCATCGCCCCCCCGCTCCCGTTCGCATTCCATTCGAGGGCGTGGCTGCCGATTAGTATGAAAAAGCGTTGTGGCACGACGGTCGGTCGCGTGCCTCCTACGGCGTTATCTTAATTTGTTTCGTGATAACGAGGCTGGTCTTAAAGTATGGAAGTTAATTGTGTATTGAACGCCGCGGCATTGTCGACTAGTATTGTTTGCGACCGCTGGTTGGTTGCGCGCGGCTGGTGTAGATTTTTTTACTGTCTAAAGTTTGAGTAAATTGTGCGCGCCTAATTTACTATTGAATATTTGGGTCTCGTGTAGACCGCCTCGAATTGATTTGTCTAATTTGTACGTTTCGTGACGGGAGGATTGTATTGGGTTTGAATTAAACTTAACTTTGATTGACATTAATTTGATTCGACGAGTTGCTTTGCGGCATTTTAATGGTTTGGTCGGGAGAACGCTGAACTTTGTGACTCGAAAGGGGACCGCGTTCGTTCCCGTGTTTGTAATTTTGTGCTAAGTGAACCCGGAACATTGAATATTGAACTTTGACCGACTGTTCTTTACTTGTGTCGGGTGTCACTTGTTTTGGTTTCGATGAACGTTGATTTGGTTGACTTTGAAGTTAATTAAATGTACAATAAAGTTGATAAACTAATACAGTGAAATAAAAGCAGAAGTTTTCAATTGGTGAACGCCCCCCTGGAGGGATCTCACATTTGGAGAGCAGAAGCGCCAGTGGATCTGCAGTTCGACTTCAACGGTTGTCAGGTTACATTGTACACACTACTACACACTACTTACATGCACATCACTTACCACCTGACTGGTACCCTGTGGTCAACCCTACCTCCGGAAATCGGTAAATTGCGCTTGCTTATTTGTAATTAATTTAGAATTATCCATAGGCCATTGGGCCCGAACCCTCGGCTGCTCGTCGAGGAGGCTACTATGGGCCCTAGCCCATTCAACTTTTGCCGGGGCAGCTGGAGGCCGTAACACTGAACTAACTATACACTTCTCGTTCTGCGTAATAGTGTACGAGATCTTGAAGCCTTGCAATGTTTGAAATACTTGGGTTTCAGTTTAAGTTTATTAATTACAGGATCCCAAGCAGATGGTAGCCAGAATATAATTAATAAAATTCCTATAATTTATAAAAGTAAAAAATCTAGCCATCTTCTCCATTGATATTTGATTTTTTTCATTTCAATAACCACGCGAATCATCCTTGGTAGGATTCGGTGTTCTTTTGTGAGGATTTTGAAGTTTAGCATATGTTAGGGCCTAAAATAATCATCATACAATCTTTGTAGGTTGGAGCGTCTGCTGAAGTTGTGCGGTAAAAAACTGTCGTCGGTGATGGACTCGCTTATCACGTACGTGGAACAGTCGCAGCAAAGCGGGAAACGTGGCTCCCGGCTGCCGAAAGACACTCGGCTCCTTCCGCGGCTAGTACTGGAGGCGGAGCAATTCGCAAACCATATCACGTTGCTGGCTAACAAGGCTAAGGTCAGTACGTAAATTCTACATAATACACTACCTACATATATATATATATATATGTTAGGATTTAAAGGGGGAATCATGTTGTGGTGGTATAAGAAAATCACTACACCGTAGCATCCCGTGGGAATCGTAAGAGGCGACAGAAGTAAACTGAAACAAGAGATGGGCAGCAGCATCTTCCTGATAACTACTCAAAATAATAAAAAAAAAACAACCCAAGTCAACCAGCCAACGTATAGGATGATTTGGAGCAGTGGAGTCTCCTATGCATCTGTGGCTGCATAGGAGACTACACGGCCAACCTAACCTTATGTTATTTGTCACCCTATCTTTTATAACAAAATAAAACACTATCGCAGCCGTAACGACACTGTCTGTGAAAGATCATTCAAGGGACAAAATCTGGTATTTGATGCTATGACAAATTAATTCAGATGAATAGAACGAATTTATAGAAGTTCCTTGTATGAAAGTCCTTATACTTCATCATCACTAATAAAAGTCCACTGGTGTTCATGGGACTCTCTCGCTGTAGTCAGTTAATCATTTGCCATAATCTTCACAATTAGCAAGTGGACTGATGAACGTAATATCAGATGCTTCGCACCTTAGATACTGCTGCTAGAAGAATTCTACAAATTTTTACGTGGTAGAGCCATGCTGCATGCTCGATTAATAGTATAGTTGTAGCAGGAATGATTCGGCTCGACCGGAGAAGGACCACGCTCTCACAGAATACCAGCGTAAGATAGCAGCGTAATGTTGCTGTCTTTCGAATGGAGAGTGTGGAGAACTGGATACCCTTTTTACTGGAAAGGAGGCATTCCATCTTAGTACTCACGATTCGTAGATATCTATGTAGATATCTACGAATCGTGAGAGATATCGATATGTAGATGTCTATGGGCCACGGCGACCATTAAACATTAGGTGAACTGCGTGCTCGTATTTCAACCATATCCTATAAAAAAATTAACAAATGTTTATTGACTTGATTGTAAGTCTCTGCATACACTGGCAGAGACTTGCAAGGTTAAAACATCAACTTCGACAGGTGTATTACTGGATAGGCTTATAAATAGTCTATTATGTTACAGGTGAACTACCAGCAGTACCTTTCCCTCGGAACCGCAAGGGACTTTAGAATCAAAGCGCCCGTGTTACAGGAGATGCTTAACGCAATGGAGCAACAAGCTGACAACACAAGAGATACAGGTTTAATAAATTCTTGTATTATTCTATTTGCAAGAAGTACCAACACCTTCCATATTTATCATGTTAAAAGAGATCATAGGTAATAATAATTTTGATGCCCATTAATGGTACATAAATTTTTCCTTTCAATATTTTAAAACAAAAAATATGAATGCCTCGTTTCCAGTAAAAAGGGTCTCCGGTTCTCTACACTCAGCATACAAAACACATCAGTATTAAGCTGCAATTTTACGCTTAGAGCGTGATCCTACCCCGGTCGAACCGACCCATTCGTGCTGCAACCACAATGTAGCTGCAGCATGGCTCTACCATGTAAAACAGTTGCGGTTGTGTGTGTTTGAGTGTTTGAATGTGAGGTGGCGCTGTTATCGAGGTCCAGAAATCACTTTTGCGAAGCAGGGGCAGATCGCTAGTATACAATAAATTATATCGCCGTATATTGGCGGTGTAAGAATATCCACTACCCCTTATTATCCCCTGTCGTCCTAAGAGGCGACAGAGGGAAACAAATTAGGAAATGGGCAGCTGTATCTTCTTAATAACGACTAAAAATAAAAAACTGCGGTTGAGCACTCGCTTGGCAACCGTGGCAACAATGGCAACTGTGGCAAATATCCTCCATGTGAGTCAATCTAAAGCAGTGGCCTATATTCAGCTGTGGGCTTTAATAGGCTGCAACGGTAACGGTTTACAAAAAATCAAACAATAAAGAATAGTGCGTAGTAGCACGTGTGGTGACGGCCTAATAGAATCCATCACGATATTGGTTGGATTTTCTTACACCACCACTACACGGCTATCAATTTGTAGTTTTTACATTTTCATGATATATTTTTAATTTTTTTAAGAAGTCATCGGCAAATGGTTTTTTTTTTTGTAGAATAAGGGTGACACGAGCACACAGTCCACCTGTTGGTAAGTAGTTGCTGTGGCCTATAGACATCTATATCTATCCTCGTTTACGAATCAAAATGCAGATGCGTTATCACCCGTGAGGATTAAGATGGAATGCCTCGTTTCCAGTAAAAAGGGCCTCCGGTTCTCTACACTCACCATACGAAATAAAATCAGGTGGACTGTGTGCTCGTTTGTCACCCTATACTATAAAAAAAAACCACGTAAAGCTCTACCTCGTACTTTATTTTATTTTTCTGTCTTTAAACAGTCCAGTGCTGGACATGGACCTCTTGCATAGTAGGAAAAAGTAAGCAGGTTAATTTACGATTACAGTACAAGACATTTCTATTGTACGTTGGGTATTAAATATCTATTATGTAATATATGTGAGATAGTTATTCAGTCAATTAGTAGATCTTTCAAGCTTCCCAAAATTGATTAGAGATTGGGATATATATCTCCCAAGATTTTCTAATTGTTACAAAATCGAGATTGCGGTGGCAATTTAATTGAAGTCTAGTTCGTTTGCTATGTTAGAGACACTAGAAAAAACATATTAATAACTAGATTCCAGAATTAAATTTCAGCTGAATGCATGCTGCCATGGGAGCATGCCAGAGTAGGTGGTTACGTGTTATTTATAAAAAAATTTGTTACGTTCTGTTACAGACGAACCAGATATAAACGATGCGGCCACGGAAATTATTCCACGGACGAGCGATAACGAGCAAGAAGTCGAGGAAGAAAGCGACGAGGAAACTTCTAGAAGGAAACGAAGGAGAGTGTCATAATGATTGTTTTGTATTATTTGGATACATTTTTTAAGAATAAAAAAAAATACAAAATAATTACATATAAGTTTTATTTTATTTCTATAATTTTACAATCATTACAATCATAGTATCAAATAGGACCGGATTATATCTCTAGGAGAGACAATCCAACAATGATTTTGTTTTACTTGACTGAGAAAATGCCGTTAATATTTAGGTGCACACTTTTTCAACGTGATTTGCAAGTTTATTACACTGTGGTTAACAGCGCCACCTACCGGTTCTAGTTTTGAATCGCTTAGATCATCCAGGGACCCACTCAAACACACACAAAAAAATCATCAAAACCGGTCCAGCCATTTTCGAGTTTTTGCGAGACTAACGGACAGCAATTAATTTTTATATACAGAGATAAAGATACGTAAATAGTAATTCTAAAAACAACTGATTTGACTTGCACCCTTGAATTTCTCATTTTATACAGTATGTTTTTATGACTTGAAATAAATTGGAAAAATAAAATAAGTTTGAAAATGGGTACCGTATGAATTGAGTGAAGCACGCCAACAAACATGCATCATGTGCTGAGTTACTGCGACACTCACAATAACGAGAAGATTTTCAAAAGTATCGTTACTTGTGATGAAAAATGGATCCTGTACGATAATCGGAAATGCTCAACACAATGGTTGAATTCAGGAGAAGCGGCCAAATCCTGCCCCAAGCAAAAGTTGACTCAGAAAAAGTTACTGATAAATGTCTGGTGGACCAGACCAGGCCCCAAGCGAGGATGGAATTACAGCGGAGCTTCTGAAAGCGGGTGGATAAACGGTACTTGAAGTCCTTCAGAAGCTCTTTAATTCCGTCCTCCATGGTGGCATTACATCGGAGGCGTGGAGCAGAAGTGCGGTGGTCTTGTTCTCCAAGAAAGGTGACAACGCTCTCTTGAAAAACTACAGACCGATTTCTTCTGAGCCGCGTCTACGTGCTCTTTTCGAGAGTCATTACGAATCGTCTCGCGCGCAGACTTGACGACTTCCAGCCTCCCGAACAAGCCGGTTTCCGAAAAGGCTTTAGCACCATAGACCCTTCGGCAAATTGTACAGAAGTCCGAGGAGTACAATTTGCCACTATGTCTGGCGTATGTGGACTATGAGAAAGCCTTTGATTCCGTCGAAATTTGGGCGGTGCTGCAGTCCCTTCAGTGGAGCCAAGTTGACTGTCGGTATGTCAAAGTGCTGAAGTGTTTGTACAGTAGAGCTACGATGGCTATCCGAGTACAGAACCAGAGTACGAAACCTATCCAATTGCAGAGAGGTGTAAGACAGGGTGACGTCATATCCCCGAAACTCTTCGTTATATCAACTTCGAGCTTAGTGCTCCCAACCGGCATAGGTGTGACATGGACATTAAACATGATCTTTGTTTTTTCCATGTTAATCTTAAGACATGTCCGATTTTGTAACTCGAGCTGAAAGGTTTCGGGACTCTGGAACAGAGCACGAGGGGGACGGAGCGTTGACTTCAGTAGACGAGACCTCTCCAACTTAACGTTTAGGTTCAGTGTGCCTCTAACCATTCGGTGATCGCTACCAGTTTTTACCCTCGCGATCACGGAGACATCACTGAACAGTTGTCGTCTGGTCGTCATAATGAAGTCAATCTCATTTTTTGTCGAACCGTCGGGGCTCGTCCAGGTCCACTTCCTGTGGGGCCGCTTCTGGAAGAAAGAGTTCATCAGAAAGAGTCCCTTTCTTCATGAAGTCGGCAAGATGCTGGCCCCTTGGGTTCCGTTGCCCTATTCCAAATTTCCCTACTTTCAGCACACCGTTCTCTCTTGTGCCTAGTTTTGCATTGAACTCTCCCTTTAACACCGTACAGTGGGTTTTGGAGGAATGCATGGCTCTAGAGATATCCTCATATTTTTCCTCCACCTCCTCATCGGAATGTGCCGAGGTTGGTGCGTAAACCTTTATGACCTTCGGCGAATACCGTTTGGTGATTCTGAGTATAAGGTGCTGAACGCAACCCTCGTCGACACACTCTCAATCTTTACAACGTTGTTAACGAGATATTTGTGGACGATAAATCCGACACCTCCTTGGGACAGATGGTCACCCTCCCGGTGATAGAGCAAGTTGCCGGATTCGAGGATTACCGTCTCCTCCCCCTCTCTTCGGACCTCCGATGATCCTATAATATGCCAGCGTAACTTGTCTATCTCTTCTTCTAGCTCCACGATCTTCTCGTCGGTCCTCAGGGTGCGTGCGTTGTATGTTGCCAGGTCTCCTTATATCCTATCCTATTCTGATCCTATAATATTCCAGCTCAATTTGTCATTTCCAGCTCCAGGATTTTCTCGTCAGTCCTCAGGATACTTGCGTTATAAGTTGCCAGGTCGAGTTGTGTTAGGTGGCAACCGAACCTGCACCGGAGATTCTTTTGCAACCCCTGCCCGTCCGTAATTGCGTCTAACAGACGATGGATAGAAAGTAGATATTTTGTGTTATAGCAAAATTAAATTGCGAAAATTGATTTTTTTTAAATTAATTATAAATTAACTAATAGTATTATACGTGGAGGAATTACGGATTCTAAAACAACATTTAAGGAGCAATTAATTGGCAGACAGTTTAATTAAAACAGTAGATATTTTATGTTTTATAGCAAAATTGAATTTTCTTCTAATAAATTAACTAATAGGAACAGACGTATATCAGTAATCAGTTATGGGTTTAAGGAGGAATTGACTGGCTTACAGTTTAATTAAAAAGAAATATATTCTGCGCTAACTTCTTTCCGGTCTATAATCATATTATTATTAAAACATAACTAATGATGATGATGAATAAGAACTTCAATTTTATAACTGCAACATACAATATTTCGCATTTTACATGTAGCAAAACTTAATTAATTTTATCAAAGCAACCGACTCTATTAACGGCGGTTTGAAGTGGCCGATGGACGATGCAATTTACCTAGAATTAGCGATAGCGCTTGCATGAAATGAGCATTCTAACAATTCCGGATAATAACGCTCGATGAATTCTGTTTATTCAAGTGCACTGTAGGCAACTGCAAGTGGAATCTACATTTAAAACTGTAACGAGGTCATTTCTTTTAGTTGAATACTTTTCAGATTATAGAACGAAATCCGAAGAACTTAAGAAATAGTTTTAAGGCTAATTTAATTTTAATTTAATATAATTATTTTAATTAAATATAATTATGGTTGTAGCACAAGTGGGTCGGCTAGACCGGGGAAGGACCATGCTCTCACAGAATACCAGCGTAAAATAGCAGCCTAATGCTGCTGTGTTTCGTATGGTGAGTGTAGAGAATCGCAGACCCTTTTCACCTCCTGGAATCGAGGCATTCTATCTTAGTCGTCAGGGATGAGAACGCATTCTGTATTTTGATTCTAATTCGAGGATAGATGTAGGTCTACAGAATCAACTTACCATCAGCCATCAGTTGGACAGTGGACTGTGTGCTCGTTGGTCACCCCTATTTTATAAAAGGATTTAAGAAAGTACGTATAGGTATATATGTATGTTATAGTCAAAACTCATAACTGGTCAAAACCACTTTAGAGTGTAAAAAATCAGGAAAAAGTAGTTTTGAATAAGGACCTTCGTCAATGCCACTTTTAACTGATTTTTGCAGTGAAAAGTAGTTTTGACTAAAGCCGTTGGTCAAATCCATTTATAACTGCAAAAATACTGGGTAATAGTAATTTTGATCAAATTAAATCGGTTAAAAGTGGTTTTGACCAACAATGATAGTCAAAACTTATAATTTTTGAATTTCTGAAATTAAAAAGTTCAATTTCTTCATTATTATATTGTATATCATTATAACGTACGCGGCTTTAGAGTGGTCCAAGATCCACCTCAGCCTCACCTTAACCTACTGTTACTGATATTGTGAGTTTTGACCGATAGACTGAAGTTCACTTTTGACTACAAAAATCAGTCAAAACATTTTTTGACTAAGAGCATCGATCAAAACTAGTTTTTCCTGATTTTAACAGTCAAAAGTGGTTTTGACCATTTATGAGTTTTGACTGTGACTTATACATATACTAAAAAGGCATTGTTAGCTCAAATTTTTTTAGGCAAGTCCGACAGTCGTTACTGGACTTTCTTATCTCGGTACTTCCTGAGACAGAAAAACATCTCGACATGCTAAAACCCGCTAAACTTGTCGGGATCGGCAAATCCCCCAAACTGGTGGTGATCTATGTCATTATAGCTGCATTTAACAAATAAAGATGTACATATGTTACAGAGTACCTAGGAAACAAATATTGGCTCTATCGCAACATTAGTTTTTTAAATAATTTGTGAATATTAGTTAGACATGTAGATAAAAAAATTATAATGATAAAAAGGAGGCCTTATCTTCGCTGCACTGACGCTGTCAAGATCACGCTTTTCAAAACATATTGTGCGTCATTTTATTCTTACAGCCTATGGACCAACTACACCAAAAAGGCCTATAGTGCCCTACGTACTCAATACAACAATGCATTTAGGGCGCTGTTGCGGCTGCCGCGCTACTTTAGCGCGTCTGCAATGTTTGCACTGGCGGGTGTGGATAGCTTTGATGCAATAATCAGAAAAAAGACTAAACAGAGTGCGCGGCAGCGGCCACAGTGTGCTGAGTGAAATTGCCGACAGTGGGGACTGTCCACTGATTAAACAAATGATCGCCAGGACTATGTCCTGCTTAATAATAAAGTATTGAGTATAAATTATATTACTAACATAGATGTAAGTTTTTCTTTACTAACAAATTCTATGGATCTTGTCCGAAATAAATAATTTTTATTTTTATTTATTTTTATTTATTATTTATTATTAATCTATGCCGGTTTGATTCTGTAGTAGTAATTGAGATAAGAATGAGACATTTTACCGCGAATCTCTTAGGTAAAGTAACTGACATTCCATGGCCAATTTTATCGAGAAATTTAAATGCAACCGACATTCCATCCTCTGATGGCGAGTTGT